ATTTCATCGCTGATGCCAATTAACTAAAGCTTTTCAATGTAATATGCCGTTTCAAAGGTTTCTGATTCAAGCGAAATAAAAATGATTTAAACAAGCCATAATTGAAAATTTTCTCACATATTGTTAGTTTTCACTGAAATATCCATGGATGATTTTGTTAAATTCAACTCTTATTCGGTCGTCTATGTTAGGGAATGCTTCCAGTGATCACGTAACATTGTCCATACTTTGCAACCTTGTTCTACATTTCTTTTTTGCACATAGGCGGTCAATTCAGATTGTTTTATCACTTGAATGCTCACGTTATTCAAGTGATTTACAAAATATTGCAGATTTGGGATCGGTGAGTGAACTCGGTATGTTGATAAATAATTTGTCGTCGGTGGAAGAGATGTTATCAGTGTCAAGGAAACATGCTCATATGGCATCAATTTTTGAACTGGTATGCGGTGAGGTTCGCCTTTTGAGACTTCTGCTTGAGGTACAACTTGCCCTCATTCGATCTCAGGTATAGTTGTTTTTCTGAAAACCATTTCCACTATTCGATAACTTCATTTTACTCCATAAATTAGACCAGACATTCATATTTTTGTTGAGATGCGATATTTTGTAGCCACTTTTTGAATGCAAAATTGTGTATAACTCTTTTGAAATTAAATGGTATCAAACAAAGTGTTCGTAAAAATTGCTGACAGCTAATGCATCGAAATCATATTCATTTAAATGAAGATGAATTAATCTATTTCTACATCATTGTGATACGACTTTTATCTATTATCAATAGTGGTTATTATTTCAAATGATTCATTGATCTTTCGTGCTGATCCTGGTGCATATGCGTTTGGATGTGAGGTAGTGAAAATCATAATTTTGGTAGGAAGTAGTGAAAAAAATGCAATGATAATCATTCAAAATATTCAGAGTGTTCTTGGAATCTTCAGTGTATACATATTATTCATGATTGCTTTTCTTCTCTTCAGTTTCTGCCGTCATTGTTGAAGTTGAAAGAAGTTTGTGATCGAATGCGGCAGTGGTTCAATTCAATTGCTTACACAAAATCGAAATCAAAATCATCAACTTCGTTCTTCAGATTCGGTTCGTTCCTTAATAATTTCATTCTTGGCGGAATCAAAATCAATCACTTGGAAGCTATTTGTTTCTTTGCAACTCAAATTTTAATTTATCTTGATTCCCAACAATATCGAAATTCGGTTTATCGTTTACGCGTCAACTACCATTACTGCTTACGATCCGTATTTGTGTTTGAATCTTTACGGATGTTCTCAGAACGTGACTATCACGGCAACAAATTCTGTATGGTTTCATTGACTGCAAAAATTATACTTAAATCGAAATGAGATCAGATATGAAATGAATTCGTTGAACAATGATTCGTCATTTATAACTATGAACTTAATATTCTGAAGCCAATTCTCATCGAAGAATTCGCCTGTTCTCTACTGGTTTTAATTTACAATTTTCTCTAGTGCTCACCCAATATGAACAATGTAAATTTCAGCGTCTTCGACTCGTAACTCATCATTACAGTTATGTGAATGGCTGGAGCATTTCTATTGGTTATTACTATCGAAATTTTCGTTATATTTTCATGACTCATTGGTTATGCAGTGTACATCAAGTGATGCCGAACATACTGTCAATGCACTCAAATCACCGAACTTCATTCACTCCTTCTATAACTTTCATCGTAAATATGATCCCACTTTTATTGCGCTCATTCTCAACAAAACCAGTTCACCTGATACCGCTACGACGGGTTTCTTTTATCGATTATTGCTTATTATCACTCTTTAATGAACAAAACTAAATCTTCTGAGAGTTAATTGAAGAAGTGAAAGTGATGTTGAATTGAATTTCTTGTATTTCTCGCTAAAATAGAAGAATAAGTTGAACTTCAATGTAGTGTCTGTTTGCAGATATTGGTTACGATATAAGGATGTTAAATGAAGTACACAAAGATGGTGAATTAAAGAATAAATTTCCTATTCTGTTTCGAATTGGTAATGATAAGAATGAATTCGAGCGATTGTTTCCGTCGATCTCAGTATTAATTCAGGATGTTTCCGACTCGAATATGTCGAACGATCGTATTAAATATTGTTATGATATTCATCTTTTGAGGGTTTCTTTCTCATTTCTTCGTAGAATGACACTTTTCGTTCAGATTCACTGCAAAGTTATTTTGGCGAATCGCAGCCAGCCTTTTCTCGTTAACCGTTCAACGGTATCAGAAAATGATCTTCTGAGCTACATTCATTCAGTGATCTATTCATTGTATAGCATAATCATCTATGCTCTTAATTCTCAAACGATCCTCAATTCAGTTTATGGATTCAAATGTAAATCACAATTCTGGTTCATTGATATATGACTAAATTTCTGAAAGTTACTTATCAGATGCACTCTAATTACTGGCATATTTGCTAAAGTTGTTCATCAAAATTTCGTTTTCAGACGTTTTTTGTTCTCCTCGTTGAGTATAATATTTACATGGTACTGGTCTTCTCGAGAAAAGTGGCCGAGCGTGACAGTGCGGTAGTGAATTTTATGCTGGAAAATGGTGCTTTGTTAAGATGTGCGAAAGCTTGTCAATCGTTACGAGGCATTAAATAACTGCATTGAATACAAGATGAATTGTTCGCGTTGTGCATGTGTACAGCAAAAGAATATAATGTAACCTCATCCAACTGAATATTATTGAAATGATTGTTTACATAATTGTTTCATTTTGTGTGTATAAATGAGTGAACGATAAATGAATGCGTACATCTTGTATTTTACTTCATAAATTGAATGTATACTTATTTTATCATAACACGAAGTTGCATTGCAGTTGGATAATGACAGCGATTGATCATATAAGTTGAATTGTCATAATTTGTTGATTGATTTGTAAGTGAAATTAATAATAAGAGAACCATTTGATTATTGATATGGATCATTAAACAGATGTTCAACATGATGTTCACCCTCTGGAGGCTTCTCATTCGGTGATAAGATTTTCAGTATGTCCACGAAATTTGGTCGGTCGGTAGGTTCCTGGAAGGAAACTGTTATTGTGAAAGTACTTTGTTTCAATTCTTTCGACGGATCAAGAAATATTCTATGATCATATGGTTGAATTACAACATCAAAGAAGTGCGATGCATCAGGGAATTATCCACTCATACTAGTCAGAAACCGTTATTATAATGATTCTTATAAAACACTCAATGAAATAAATGCCCAAAAAAGTCTTCAAAGTATTCACTGATACGCAACACACTCCTATGATTTAATTTTCGACTGCGATGCCATTCGTTTGTTAAGCTTACTCACCTGGGTAAAGCATAAACCCATAACTTTAACTACGGTTTCTGGCGTTCCCTCCGGCAGCGCCATTGGTGTTTCTTTCGATAGAATCTAAGTTTACGGATGAAATGTAACAGTTAAGTCTTCAATATTTATTAATGCATGTGAAATTATTCAATTTATTGCATCTTTATACAACTCATTGTTAGCTATTAGAGGAATTCCGAGTTGGAAATGTTGATGCTGTCACTTTAGATCATTGTTCGCAACATATCTATCGGATCATCTCTGACAAGTGTAAAACAACAGTGAATAAAACCTTCATTCGTGCTTGAGCATTAGTCAAACCGGGATAGGGATCACTTCGACAACGTGTGAATATTTCCCATAACATGACGCCGAAGGACCAAACATCTGTCTTTGTCGAGAATTGACCCTGGCAAGTAGTCGATTTGAGTCGAGTTCAAGTATAATCGGACGATGGATGTCACCGTATGAAAACGATGCGGCAAACAACCTACCAAACGAAGTGTTTCAGGTGCAAGCCATCGCACAGGCATTTGCCTAAGTTTGTCGACACTAATTGTGTCTTGATCCGCTACTGATAAGCCGAAATCGCTGATTTTTGCTTCATCTTTTTTACCAATCAAGCAGTTACGTGCAGCAATATCACGATGGATCACCTCAAAATGACAATCGAAAACGTGCGCATCCTTCACGTGACTGTTACTTTTCGAATGAGAATATCTGTATGAATCATACCGTACTCGCAGACAAATAACACATTCCACGTACAGCATCAGTTGCGTATCCAATCAATTTCTCGATCGGTATTTCCGGATGATATTTTAGTTTCTTATTCAGTGCCCCATTCGGACACAGTTCTAATAATATCATCACTGGATCCTCTTGTGGAGCAACCCCTAAAAGATTCACGATGTTCGGATGATTGAATCTTCGCATCAATTTCGCTTCCTGCAAAGAGATTTATAAGGGAATGCGCTCTGTTATATGATAACAATATGATTAGTATGCCAATAAACCTTCATGAAAATGGATCGTTGTCGTTTTGTCATAAGACCTTTGAGTTGTTTAATTGCAACATCAACCTTTGTACCGTCGTTTTTTGTTAAAACACCAATATAAACATCACCGAATGCACCAGCGCCAATCTGATCTTTCACTTGAACGTGATCATGTAGAATATAGTACTCTGGCCGTGAAACAGGTTTTTGCAAGAGAGTACCTGAAATTATTGATGTGTTGATATTGCAGTGTGCTGACGTACATCGAAAATCTTTAATGAGCTCTATCAAAATCTTTTTGCAAAGGAGAATGTACACTTTCATGGTATAGCGAATGTTTACGAAAGCCTTTTCGGAAACATTGATCAATGATATTAGTTGAAAATTTTTTATGGATTCATTAGTCAAATTTAAACTGTTTCATAAATTTTAATGATTTTCGCTGCGTTGGACGAAAGGGACATATGAACACATGAACATAGGGACATATGAAATGAGTCAATCAGTCGTACCGTCCGCTTGTACAGGTATCTTCTGTTTAACGTGTTCTAGAATGAGTGATGTGATTGAACGCATTTTTAACTGTAATTATAGCTGATACATCTAATTAAAATGCAATATCAAAAGCAAATTTCATCAAACTCAGCGATTCTGATTGTCAGGGAGATGATTGGTGCATGCTATGACTGTAGGCAAGATGATGTTTTCATAAGTGGTTATTCAAATGGAGAAATATTGATTAACTGATTATGGAATCACATCATCATGATTACAAGGCAGTAAAAATACGTTTCGCTCTAACTAGGCTTCGAAAAACAAGACAAAGTGTGACAGCAGTGCATGAAAACAAATTAATCCATTAGTGCCACTGGTCACTTTTGGTCCTTATAAGGAAGATGGCTTTTTGCTACTTCCATTAGGAAGACTCGCACTTTATAGTTAAAACCGTGATTGCTGGACCTATGTCAATTTGTGAGTTCAGGAGTGGTTCGGAGTTGAAGGGATATTTAGTCACGATAGAAGTAACTATGGGCATTCATAGGTTACTATCATCATCTGAGGGCACGTTCACCTATTGAGAAAATAAATTTGAAATGAACGAACATTTCGAAGACTCCATTGCCCATCAGAAAGCATTAAAAGTATGTGACGTATTCTTTTCTTATTCATCACCGATACCACTAACCGCGTTTTGCCACCAACCTTCAACAAAATATTTTTGTTCGATTCATTTTGTTGATAATTTCTTGACGCTGACCCATAAAAAACCCATTCACAATATCAGCTAATCATCTCCCTCACAATTCTTCTTGTATTTCCTGGTACAATGTGAATATTTATAACATAGCAATAGCAACAAAAATAACGATACAACGGTGAGAATCGTGATTATCGTCTTAACTTAATGCGATTGTAAACTTTCTTCAACGCAGAAGAATGTAGGCATTCTCGAGAGCAATGTTAACCTCAGTACGTCTAACGATGAAGTCACCATCAGCATGTAACATCTCTTCAATTTCTTCTCGAGGCATTAGTCCGTGATACCATTCGTTCATTTGTAATGCATTACCAGCCTTCTAAAAATCATTCTAAAAATGAAACATCTATTTGCTTACTTATATCCTTCAGAATCATCGAAGAAAAAATTGCTCAGCGAAACCGCTGAGCAGAGAAATATTAAACATTCAAGGCCACATTTCTCAATTGATTCGAACACATTCTCTGACTGAAGACTTAAAACCGAATGAATTTTGCAATCGACGAAATTCTAGATAATTATTGTCAAGATCTGGGTGATTATTGTCAAGTAGTTGTCATCTGACGGGCACATCGAAATTATCAACCTTTGCAAATTCTTCTTCCTTCTTTTTCAACGCTGCAGGATCGAGCTAAATTAAAAACAATGTTAAATGAACGAATGGTGTTAAATCCTTCGAAGAGAGTGTTTATGATCAGAATGACCGCTCATTATTCGATGCTCAAATCATTTCTCGAAAATTTAGTTAGTCTGTTCCGAATGAATGTCAATAGTATAATGGCAAAAATTAGTGTTGTCTAAAGTGTCAATTAATTAACACAACTTTTTTGTTTGTTTTGAGGGAATCTCGTGACGCCTTTGATCGAGCTCGACTACGCGTACATTTACCAGCTCCGCCACGACCCTTTGATGAGCCCTTCAAAAACAGCAATATTACTATTATGCCGTCACCACCTGCATTGTCAAATGCTAGTTTCTGTCAGTGGTTTTCTAGTGAGAAATTAAACGAGATTTTGATAATACGTAACAATTAGGCTCATGTGAAGATAAAGCTTGATCGCATTCCTCACGAGACTTCTGAATCGTTCGATTGTCTATTGGAAAATTATAGCGAGTCAACCAAATCGTCACGCAAATTCGATAAAAAGATAAAGTGACTAACATTTGCGGAATGCTCAATGCTCAATGATTTAGATTTCTGCGTTTTTACTCGACTTTTTGCTAACTTTTCATCATACGATGTGCTAAAAACAAGAGTATCAGTACAAACGATAATCAAGGGTTCGTGTTGGGAGTGCTCTCAATTAATAGTTATGAATGACCGCTGCCTAGAAAAACTCAGATGCTGATATTTATAAAGTCACCATCGATGATTGAAACCTAGCTGATCAATGTTACCACTTCAAGAATCTTGTTTAGCAATGATGATCGTGTTTATAAACTCACACTTGTGACTTGCACTTTTTCCTGAAAATTTATATGTGATGCTCGTCGAACAATCATTCATTGCTGACTTTAAGAGGTCAGGGTGAACGAGAAACGTTAACGGAATATTGTGAAATATTTTGAACTCTATAACGCAGTCCCTCAACGCTCAGCCAAACAAATCATCAAACACTCACGATCTCGGCATTTTGTTCAGAGCGAACGCTCTTCAGCCGATTAACACTAAACAATGAAAATCAATCGTTGTACCAATACCACCACCACTTCTTTATGCATATTTCTTCAACAATTTCCATAACGATTTTTCAAATTTTGTGCACAAATCGAATGAACTCTAAATTTTTTGAACATGCAAATCGTGATTAACTTTTCAAAATAAGATAATTTTAACAAGCAATCTGCTCGTTTCTCTTGAATCTTATAGAATCTCATTCCAGCATTTCAAACGTTTCCTAAGTTGGGTTTCCACGGGATCCCGAATCCCGGTTTCTGAATTTCGATCCCGACCTCGAGTGTTGCGGCTAGTGCGAAAAGCCGGCATTAAAATGAATAAAAATGATGATAGGAATTGAAAGAAGATAGTACTTAAATAAAAATGAAATAATTGAGCAACGGGCCGATAGTGTATTGATGTAACGATGTGCTTTGAGGGTCTGATCTGTTCAGAAGGCGTGAGTTCGATTCTGCGTCGCTCCAAAATCTTTGATGAGTTTCGCTGTCATTGTTAAAAGAAACAACAAATAGAGAGAAAATAAAGAGGGCTAAGTTTCGATTGAAAACAGGCCGGATTTTACAAACCATATTCCTAATTGTAAGGAAATGACAATCACTGAAATGATTGCGAGTGCTAGCAGAAAATTTATCATATCAGTTCATTACCTGAAGTAAGATTCGATGGTACTAAAGAAACTATGTCGCGGCAGTATTTATCACTTTGCATAAACGCCTTTGTGATGGTGAATGATTACTCATTTATAGCGAACGATATGATATTTATAAACGAATGAAGTAATTTTATGACGAAATCATTATCAAAACTCAAATGAACACAGAACAGTGCAAAAGTTCTTGTTTGCTAATGAGTCAAACAACGAAAAAAAGAATAATTCATGCAATCATCATTATTACAAGTACATCGAATCTCAGTTGAACATTAGAATCATAACATCATAGCACCAAAGCATTAAAAGCTTAGCTGTTTTGTATACAACAATATTTCAAAAAAGCACGAAGTGTAATTATGCATCTAAATCATTACAACTGACATATAACCGAGATCATTCATTCGTAATGTCATTTCATCAACAAATTCAATAAAAACAAGAAACATAATGAGATCATCACGCAACAGTAACGACATATGAGATAAGACAGTAAATCACAAACTGATAAGATTTTAAACTGCGTTAGGAAGTCGACGATTCATATAATGAGATCATCACGCAACAGTAACGACATATGAGATAAGACAGTAAATCACAAACTGATAAGATTTTAAACTGCGTTAGGAAGTCGACGATTCATATTTCTTGTCAACTGAAGACGGTGCTCAGTTGCCAACTTGATTATTGGACAAAGTAAAAAATGCTCCATAAGGAATCAACTGTACGTGGGTCATTTTTGGATGAAAACTCGGATGTAAACAAAATTATGGAACTAACTGGTTGCTGTTATCCACAAGCAATCAGAGGTTTAGAATAGAATAATCCACAATGACACAATTTAATAAGCGATAGCATTTGAATAAGGTCAGCAAGGATAAATTCCATACATGAAGCACTTTAGAAGGAAGAAATTCAAGAACGTTCTGAAGTGATTCGAACTTTTTTATGAAGAAGAAACCTAACAACCGTCGCAATATGACTAAAAATCGATATTCACCACAAAGAATAATGTACTGATTTGTTTATAGCACGAAATTAGTGATGGCAATCCGCGTTCAAATGGGATGTCGATTTCAAATCCTCAAACAGTTTTGGCTTTCAGTTAAACGAATTCATATATGGATATGTTTATCCCTGTTCCAACATGCATGCAATTATCTAGTAACTGAGTAAATGCAGCGGATTTATCAAAAGCACAAAACTGATCTAATTATAAGTTGATAATAGCAACGGCGAGATCTATTTTGATCAGAAGCCTATCATCAAATAATGAGGAAGAAAATGCTAATAGACGTAGACATATTAACGAGATCGATTGAACCTTTTTGTTTTCTAAAAGAAACGAGATCAATTCAAATGTTTGAATTGTAAACATCCACAAAAGCTGCTGCCTTCAAATGGTTCAAATAAAGACTGACCAAAGTATCTAATTCTTTCTGGTTCCGTAAGGCTTCGAATGACATAGAAAAACAACTCATTTTAATGAATCAGTGAATTATGTAACAAATTCCCTAATCTATCACTCTTTAGCACATAGCAAAGTCTTCAAGTTCAGTCATTTGCATAACGAAACGAAAATGTTTTACATGAGCTGACCAACGTTAAAAAGGGCCATTGATAGTGATTTGCTAAGAATAATGGGAGTTGCTTTCGGAATGAGAAGTATGGAAGTAGAGGAACACATACTGGAATCAATAATTAAACTGGAGAAAAAATTAGCATGACTAGCTGGTTGACAAAGCTGACTTGATTTGTTCGAAATGAGTGAATATACAAATAAATTTATAAATATACCAGTAAAAGTGTAACTTTATGAAATATACGGGTTTGTTAGATGAGGATGTGCAATCGTATGTGCACTGCTATTCGCATCCATGCCTATCGCCGTACCCATTTCGACGAATAATGCATTTGATCGATCGTGATGCATCGCTGATGAGTTCAGACCAAGCAGTGCTCCAGCTGGTGCTAATGACACTTCTGGGGTACAACCATAACTCCTGTCCATATCTGCAATTTCATATGCACCGTTGCGCATTCAACTACGTCCACAATTGAGTGACAGCAATGTCATTCCAAATATATGAAACAAATTTTCTTGTAGACAACAACACTTCAAATTATCCGTTAATCACCTGTGGCAATCTCAATTGATATCCCACACATAAAGTAATGCACCGCAATTTGAAATATCAACATTTCATTCTTCACATTCGGCCAATATTACACGAGATAGCATTACCTTACATTCTCAAAACATGAGAAGATAGCATTCTCAAAATTCTAGCAAAATGACTACCTTCTCGAGTGCATTGAATGGACACTTACCATAAGCGGCTTCTGATTGCCCGTCACCCTCTATCGAACTGTCCAAAAAGCCACCAGCACCTAGAGTGTTCAATCAGATGATAAAACATTTCGATACGATCTGTCATTCAGGAGCACCTTCATTTTCAGTTCTGATCTTCATTAATGATCTAATGAAAAGTTCCACGGCTATTTTATACGATTGAATAAATCTGTGGCCTCAGTCAAGCACTTCAGCGAACAATTCCGAGAGCTTGTCTTTCTCTTATAAGGACTCGAAAGGAGGCTAAAATAACAAACCATAAATTGGACTATGACAAATACTGTCCTCAGGCGATGCACTGTCGCTGTCAAGTCCCTTCGTTATGCCATACGCACTCCAACGTCTACCTGAGTCCTTTTTCAATCGCTTCTCTTTCGCACGACGATTTTGAAACCATACCTGCAACGAACACTGCAATAGGACTGACGGAGAGGATTAGGAAATTTTGATGAAATTGCTCGAGCCAGCTCTTTAGTGTTAATAAAGAGCACGTTCCGAGGAAGAACAAAGAGGAATGAATGTAATGAATCAGTTAAGCGAAACAGAGATATATTCACTCTCCACTCACCTGCACGACTCTCATATCCAGACCAGTATCAGCGGCAAGCTGTTCGCGAACGTGTCTTGCGGGTTTTGAACTCGCTTGATAGGCTTGTTTCAATGTTTCAAGGCTTTTGGCTGAGATCGTTGTTCGGGGTCGTTTATTGTTTGCATCAGCATCTGCTTCTGAACAGTATACATTCTCATCTTATTTCACTTGAAACGGTGAATAATCACAAGTGATAAGATTCATCAGCATTGATAATGATTTAAATAATCGACCTTTGTTCTTCGCCATTTCGTAGTCAGTCTTGCAAACTAGACGTCCATCAGTTGGAATCAAATAGAACTCTTCACCGGTTCGTAACTCCCTTTTGCAAATTACACATTGAAAGCAAGCCACATGATAAACGTGATCATTCGCTCTTCGAACGACTGTATCCGGACAAATCCCCTCTTCACATCCGGAACATTTTGTTCCGAAACGTCTGGAAGTTGAGTATTTATATTCAGGTTTTGTTCAAATATGAAATTTTCAGTCGCTTAAGATTAGAAGAGTTTGGAAGATGTTTAAGTCTCAGCTCATTTCTGACTGGACTAAATGTGCCATATTCACTTTGAATTAGAACTAAATTGGACGTAGCATTGCTTTGAAACGATGAGCTTAACAAAATTTTAGACAAATCAAGAGCATTGTCTGACGCTGGGATAAGAATCTATGAGTATTTCATCGCGTGCATGGCAAGCGTTCGAATTAGAGATTATCTTCAATGCAATGCACAATTTTTAAGGAGTGCTGTCACAGTGGGCTTTTGTTCAAACGAATTGTCATCGATACAATAAAAAATCCTGACGACAGGTATTTTGAGAAAGTTTAAAGGATAATGCAAAAAAGGAAGTTCGTTGGTATGTGGTAGATAAGTTGAGTGGCTTTTCATAACGACATAACTGTTGCGGGACGTTCAGAATTTAGGGTTCAGTGAAGTGAAAATGAAACAAACTTATAAAAATGATCCTTGCAAAAGGGTTGTCCTCCTTTGAGGTAACATTTTGAGGTGAGTGGCTGTTCGCAGTGAGTACATCTCAAGCATTGTGTGTGATATGATCGATCAAGGACTTTTAATAAATATCGATCCCGAATTGGTTCATCGCATTTACCACATATACATAAGACACAATTCTCTGAAAATTGCATTTATTTTGGTTACCGTCATTCAAAATGTGTGATCGTTTCATCTAATACTGACTCATTGGCACTACCAGAACTAGATGATTATGAAGTGATGCGACCTCAGAATCGGTGAGATTGAAGCAAGCGACAATCTGAAAGTTCAGTGCTTGCTGCAAATGGTTGTTCGGTTATTCTGGTGTTTTCACAACGAATTATAGCAATCCATCAACTTCGTATGCATCGCTATTTCATCATGTTTCGATCAGCCGTGATAAGGAGATTATTATTTTCACTACCATTATCGTTTCGAATATCCTTTTCAGATAAAGCAAGCCACCCTCATCCTATGTTAGCAGTATTTATGATGGAGCCGCTTACAGCAATTAGAGGGCAGAGGAGTGTGTTAGAAGATGAGCACGTTTGAAATTTGTTTACTTTCATGATGTTCCTTTAATAAGAATTTGCTCGTTTTGCTCTGTACTAAAACGGATTAGCAAACAACTCTGTAACTTTATCGAACGATCTGATCGCCACGCATATATGGATAGATGAAGACCGATCCCAGCTTCACCTTCATCTTAACCAGTTCGAATTTGCAAATGGCTAGATGAGTCAGTAAAATCAAATGTAGAATGAATTGAATGCGGTTGATGAAATGTGATGGCTATTCGATAATGTCAGTATTGTGAATATAATATTACTAAAATATATTATATAAGGGAATATGACATAAGCATCATCAAAATAGATGACTGATGTGATCAACAATTCATGCACCTACTGCAAATATCATACTAACACACGAAATTAACATCTATTATTCATAACATCTGAGTGTAATGCATCAATACTGTTGCTAATAAAAATACATACGGCTCTCTCTGAAAGTTTACCAGCAACACGTCTTTTGACAATTCGTTCTACTTATGCAATCACGTACGTATCCATCGCTATTCATTCATTTTACTCAGTGATTTTCGAAATGCATTCCCATTAACTTCGGAGATACAATGGTGCTACAACATAACAGCATTTGAATATTATGAAACTTCCGCTGTTCTCTGATAAGAAAGTCATGTTTAAGGCACGATTTTTACAATGTACAACATTCGACTGTGCACGTTTATCGTTGGATGAAATGGCAATGTAATTTTAAAATTAGATTGATAAGTAAGTAGTTCGTAAAGTGAAATGAGATTTGATAGAAATTTTAAATTTGCATTTAATTACAAAAATGGATTCCAATTGAACCGAGCATATTTTGACTGTTGTTGATGGCGATCAGATAAACGGTACTCAATGAAGCATTATTACTGTTTTGACTGTTCTTGTTATCATCATTACTGTTGCTACTATCCTTATGACTGGCAATATTAATGTGATATGTTCTTTTTCATATGACACTAAACCTGAATCGTTACGATATTCTCTGGATCCAACGCCTCGAAATATCCGAATGAAACAAACTGGAATCGTTCTCGGCTGTCAATCAATCGCCATTTCATGCAACTCAATACTCGATTCTTGTCGTTCAATACAAGCTTTAGGGTTACGGTAGATAGTGAGAGTGAATATGTGTGTTGAGAGTCGTATAGAGAGACAGACAGACGAATGCAAATAGCGAATGATACTGATGTGATGACTTGTTGCTTGCAGCAATGAGAGAAGGGGTAGTTGTAAGTAAATGCTCTGAAAATGTCATTTGATGTGTTATGTGCTGCTGTCCACTAATGGACTATAGTCGATATAGCAGATGGCCCATTGACAGCTCACCTGGAATAATTCTTATTTGTTCATATGGAATAATGATCATTCAGTGCTAATGAAACACTTTTTACGCGCATTTCACACCTCTTTATCCTTTTTATCCTCATCTTATTTCAATCATTGATTGATTGATTCCTTTCTTGACCGTATGATATACACTGAAACGTTCTTTTCAGTTCCGAAAATCACGATGAAATGGGCTTATTAAGAAAATGTTGATACTTGTACATATTGAAGAGGAAGTTCTGATAGTGAATTTCGAATACCATGTTGAAAAATGTTGTCGCTACACGGTGATAAGAGCAAAAAAGTACTGCGGCCTCTCTGAAGTCACTGTAACCAAAATCTTAGTGGGTTGCGTCAGAAAGAATGAGATAAGAATTTTTCAATTTTCTTTGCACATCCATTTTCGTTGGTTCTCAGTAATCCATTTGTTTATTGAAACTGCTGAAGTCAAAGTATGTTTGAAGAATATGAAAATATGATATAAAAATGGCGTGAAAATAATTTGGAGAACTGCTGCTACTAGAAGGGTGGCTAATTGCATGAACTATCATCACTTCATCCATTCAAAAAAAAAATTCTCAAGATCGAACCATAAAAATATGAAGACATCATCTCATTGTTTTATTCGACAAAGGTTTAACCTTAAAATATTGATGTGTAGAGGAAAGTTCAGAAAGGAAAAACGCATAAGATAAAATTCAAACTATCATTAAATACTTTGCTGAAAATGGAAATAACAAACTTTTTGAAGCAATACAAAACAAATACACTGAAATATTTCACTGGTCCCAGCTAGGTTTATAACGGACAAGTGTTATCATATAAAAGCTATGCGCATAACCTCTACTAATGTTACAAAGATGCACGAGATAGTGCTCAAATGAGCTGAATAATTCATTAACTTCCAAATATTAAGCATCCGGACTGGAGATTTTCTATATCTGAAGCAAATGATTACATCTTTCAATCAACCGTACGGAACCGTTCATGAATTACAGTAACATCGGATTCAACTCATTTGTTTTGAATATTGCTATTCAAGTGGGCAGCAATGTGTTGCAAAATCATACTTGAATGATTCCTGTTGTTTTCATTTGAGAAAATTTCAGTGAAAGCATATGAACAAATGGTTCACTGGAAAACTGGACGCTCCATCACATGGCCACAGTTCAATGGAATATTAAGTGACAAATGCAGTGTTTGAAAGATGATTTATTGATCAATTTCTAAGACGCATTGATAGATGATAATGAGATATTTAAAGAAATGTATTATGATTTAGCAAAGACGAGAAGCTTTCTGCGCAATAATCAACAGCTTTAAAGATCAACACGAATCATACGGTATTAGAAAGCATATTCGCAGCATTCAGCTGGCTTCTTAAGAAGATAATAGAGTGATGCAGCAGGAGTGGATATACCTACATTCGCTTAGCTGATTAATCCCTATGCCACTCTCACCTTTTTCACTTCTATTATTATTATGGTGTTAATATGTCCTTGATGTGACTACGTCTGCAACAATATCGATAGACCAATTCCGCTTCCAATGCATTTTTGTGTTGGATTCGTCAGAATTCGATGACGTCAAAACATTAAAATGGATTAGAAACGGTGAAGTGAAGTGGAATAAGATATGATAAAGTATATCGTAGGTGATTACTAGTTCGAGGAATAATTCATATGGCAACGAACACTCCTTACAAACGATTAACTGAATTGAGGGAAATTGCATAATTATGGCACAGAAAGTTTGTAAATTTTCGTGGATCCTGTTGTTCCTTCAGACAGCAGTAATGTTTCGAGAAATTGATCACAATCAGTGAACATAATAAAACAAAACCGTCCGCTGACCATTCCAACGGATATCGCTATAATAATCACTATCAAATGCATCGAATGCCTTTTCAGATGTTCTAAATAATCGATTATTCAAACTGAAGTTATCACATTTGGCATGATAGTTGATAGTTCACTCCAATTGTTACATTTTAACAATCATTCCAATCACTGAGAGATTTTCGTTCACTCTTTGTTTATGTGTTTAGACATGATGTAAGCACCGAATAAATGCTTATTTCATTGCCGAAGAAAAATAGAATCGTTTCGTTGAGAGGAAATGCGAAGTTGAATTGTCGATCGTGAAGTATTAGAGAAGATAAATTATTTGATGATGGAGGGTTTGAATGAATGAGTCGGAAAAGATGAATTCGATAATAGTAGCTAGACGAGAACGGATATGATTGATTTATTACCAATATAAAGAGTTCCCTCGAATATGCTATCAAAATTTAACGCTTATGGCGTGTGGAACATGTCAATCTTATGGATTAAGCATCAGGAAGTTGAATAGTTGTCTAATGAATGACTAAGATGATTTCTGTTCAAAAATGTGCCTAAACAACCGAAAAATACAAATGAATAATTGATAAATAAAAAATTCTCACCAGGTTGATCATTAGGTGATGTATCACAAGCTGACATTATCAGCTGTGCAACACTTAAAAAGAGTGCGGTACTGTTTTGCTGAGATGAGAATAACAGTTAATGCTTCTTATGTGCACGATGAATATGGTGGTTAGAGCAGTGGATGAGAGCAAAGAAGGGAGTATGCGATGGATGTTTCATGGTACATCCTTTATGCTCGCCTCTTCTTCAGCTTCGTTATCTTTCAGTGAATGGGTGGAGTTGATTTGTTGGATTGTTGTTGTTAAAAGCATGAGAGTACATATCTGATAGAGGAGAGGTGCATAGCCACCTATATAAAATACTTTATCCAATCAAATGCTTTGTCTTGAGTTCAATGTTGCACATAAATCATTTGCATTAGGTGTGCTATCGAAACCTTATCATTTCTTGATCAGTTCAATCACTCATACAGTTCACAAAAGATCATCATTGACTGTGCAATTCAATCCAATTGACCTAAAAGATGGGATTTGCATCTTATGCACTCCAACCGTACAAACCACATCTTTACTAACAAAATTTCTTGATGGTTCCACAGAACGCTAAAGTACTCAGAACGTTGGATGGTCATAAAGCAAGTCGAGTTGGTGTGTGAAATATATTTTTATTAGACTCATTCGGGTCTTCAGCATTGTTGATTGTTTGCACGAAAATTCCTAAAAGTTTTTAAAATGGAAATATGTAAGTGATCGAATCGATTCAAACGGATTTATGAAAGATAATCTGAAATGATTTATTCTGTAACAAAATTGATGAAAATTCAGAAAAAAACCTGAAAGATTGCAAAAGAAATGGTGAAAACTAGGAGTGATGGATGTGTACGAGGAAATGTGTTGTTGATAAAACAACAAAACAGTCATACCACTAATGCGTATTGCAGATTTCCCCTAAGGATAACAACTCTACCGTATCAACGCATCACTTATATTGGAATTTCACTCGAATACCTCATTTATTACGCTAATTACCATAAGATGAAACCTTCAAACATTCTATTACCCATTACATGTACACAAATGTCATTACCTCAATTCACTTCAAACGAATTCATACTTCTGTTATTTCATTACGACCATTATTCCTTTCACGAACTTCGATGATCATAAATTAATACAGATATCTTTTATTTAAATACGCTTACAATTCAGAACTTTGAAATGCCTGAACCCATTCAGGAATTAGAAATGCAAGTGAAAGCACAATTTGAATCTCAGTAATAGTATTATGCAAAAGAACGGAAACAATGTTTTGTACCTCATCATTTTTCACTTATTTACTCCGCTGTTATCGTACGTTTCGTACATAAGCCTCTTCAAAATCACTGCAGTTATCACTATTATCACAGTTCACTGCTCTTCTACTCTCATTATATTTGCAATTTTTGCTCTGAAAAAAAANAAAAAAAATGCTGAGAAGAGTGAGATTTTGTACGCTAAAGCAAACGCTGACGATATATTCAAATAAGAATATTAACAGCAACGCTCACGACGGTAAATACCGCAAAAAGAAGAGATCAGAATGGCATCCATCCTTCTGTGTATTACATTACCGGAAAGTTTTGTACTCCGGCAATGAAACTGCTTCTGACCGTCTTGCACAAAAAAGTTTGTTCAGAATAGTCCATTATTAAAGACTGACGAGAAACAAGAATTTGGATGAAAATTATGATACTGCGGATGAGCAAAACGCTCATCAAAATTTTACTCATTTGTAATGAGTACACCAAATTTCTTATGTGATCAGTGACTGGCATACGAAAAGTAAGAAAGAAATGACAAAGTTTAATGTGATTTTGAAACGTGAACAGAACATGCGAACAACTGCAGATAAAAATTATCAAAAGTTACAATAATAAACAATTTAAGTCGAAAATTTCCTAGCAAAAAATTTACATTTGATTCAAAGAACAAGTCTGTAAAACATTTAATAAAAATACACAAATCTCTGAGCATAAAAATAATGAAGGGTTGGCAAATTTGAAAGATGGTAGTGATTCAGTGCGCTTTTTTGTTGGTATTTGTCCAATTCGGTTTTCGTTTATTGACGAATGCATCGATGCCTTCTTGTGAATCCACGAGTCGGAGTGTATCAACCATCACCCGAGAACCCATCCTAAAATATTACAAAATAACTTCATACTCCACGATTACTATGAATAACATTATACAATTATCATATGATTCGTTCAATTAATGCATGAACAAACCAAAACTATCACGAACAAACAGACTAATCGTAAGTGTGAATTAACCAGAAACATCGAACCACTTTCAAACTACGACATAAGAAGAACGTCCATCATAACAATACGGTAACTGAATTACACAGATAACGGAAAATGCCATTGCTCATTCTCAGACACAGCATTGATTGAATTCGGATGATATACAGTTCGCAGTCGAATCAACGTAGAAATGAAGTAAAATGGTAGATTCAAGGGAATAAAGATCATCGAATAAATTGATTCAACGGACATTAAAAGATGAAGAGCAGCACACTAAACGACAGCACCTATGGATAGAGGTTGATGTGAAAATGAAAATGGAATAAAAGTCCATTCGAATCTAAGGCAAAAACAATAAAAATTCGCATTGTGACGTTGAATAAGAAACATAAAACGAGTGAAATAAAGTGCGCTAAGTAAAGCACTAAGCAAATGCAATCATCAAAATGGTTGTTCACTTCAATTAACAAATCGAGTCAACGTTGTTTTACGATTGATCAATTATATAATTTATTCGATTCGTAAATGGCCGTGAAGTTGAAATCGCTCACTAATTACGTAAACGAGTGGGCAATACATGTGACAGATGGAAGGGATCCACCGTAGCAAGCAAGTCAATCTACATTACGAACAATATGCTTCATTGTCCATTATCACTTTCGCTAAAGCAATGTAACATGTGTTCAATCACGATTCAATTTTAGTGTTTCTTTACTTATTATTTTGTAATTCAAATGAATCGATACAATCCGTATCGATCTTTTCCTGATGCGGATATAAATATTCTAAAATAAATGTTCAATTACGATGAAAAAATATGAAAGAAGCTTATTTGATATGTTCTCGTCTTCTGTCATTCTAAAAACTTTGAAAAAGTGAACTGTTCATTATTCTTAACGTCTGCAGCTTATTTCACTGATAAGATTGCGGATTAAACGATATTTGATGATGAAATTTTGATGAATCTTAATAAGGAAGAAATTCCTAGAAAGTAATAGACAGGATGCAGGAATTTTTTGGAGCGTCATAAAATATGCTTTACGACTATCATAAAAACCAATTTATTGCCTTGAAACGTTTCTGTATTGTCCTCCGAGGAGAAAATACGATAAAACGAGCTTGAAGACATTCAAAATAGAGATCAATTGATGGGAATATGGAGTGTATCCGATTTTCAAGGCAACAACCTATCGAGTGACAGCGATGACAATTACTGTTTTCATTCCTACCAACAGTTCTAGTATGGTTGTCAGTACCACCACAGTTATCAAAGTTCAATTCTTGTTCAATTAAAACCAGTGATGATGTTCGAAAAATTACAAAGTGTTATCATAACGATGAATAATGGATGAATTGCGATACAGTAAACTGAGAGGAATGATTGATTAATGGCGAGAACGGAGGTGATATTCAATTAATAATTCACGTAATTGTCTCCATTCGAATGTCACTTCACAGTCCTTCGAGTGACAGTCAATGAAATTATATATTGTCGCATCTCACTTAGTCATTCCTTGGATGTATGCCGTTTCTGAAGAATTTTACACACGAAATGATAACAGAACATAAACTATGGTCAATCCCTCTGGTTGAATTGAAAATTTCATCGTAACATTCCGATTAATATTTTGTTACATTATTTTTTCATTATATCACTAGAACATATTACTCTATTTTAATGTTACAGCCAGCCTTTATTGGCTTTAAAAATTTTCACGTGACCAAAAATTGAAGCATACCTACAATTAGTAATTGAGTAATATCAAAGTGCAGTCGCTCATTTTTACAAGGTCAAGTAATTGAAATTTGACGCTTTTCGACAATTTAAAGTAACATTGATATCTGATTAAGTCACAATTCAATGAAACGTTGATGATGTGATGAACGCAGCGAGTTTGCTAAAAAAAGGATTATATCAAAAATGTATGTTGATAGATGTAGGTGCATGCAATAAAAAGGTGAATGACCGAACACTAACCATAGGTCGATGTCACAAGGATACAAGCAGTATGTATATAAGCAAAGCTCGTAAAATGCGCTAAAATAAGGAGAACGAGCACATAAAATGGATGGACAGCTGGCTTATCGCCGAATAAAGCATTGTGTAAGCATATGTGCTGATGCACAATAAAAATCTATCATCAAATTGTGCTTATTACCCAATATGACATCGATTACTGTCATGGAATTGTTTGACATTACATACCGTACCACAGAGTAACAATACAATAACGCTGATAATGACTCATTACCGAATGTCACACTCAGATCGCATGATCGCATCACACACAGTACTCCAAAGTAGTGTTCGTCGGGGAGCAGTTTTTCGAACGGGGGAGAGGGATTCCCGCAAAAAAGTCGGAAAGCAAATTGCGCGGGGGAGCGCTCCCCGCCAACTCCATCGGGAGCCCCGACGGGGACTCCGTTCTCCGACGACGACATCGAAGCCCCCGTTCCTCCGAAGTTTTTGAGTTATCACGTCTTTTCACTTTTATCAAGGCAAATTTGGGCGACTTTCGTTCTCTTCCGCGCTGATCAAAACTTCAAAAATTGCTTAAAATGAGGGGAAAAATAATAGTACAAAAGAAAATATATTGACTAACTGAAAAAAACTGATCGTAACCGGAACTTACATCAGACCACTGATTGATATAATTGAAAAAAGCACATTAATATTACTTTTTGCTCAGCATTTGATATCATTCTGAATTGTTGAAAAAAGATTTATTGTTGTTGCAAAGAAACTAAACAAATGATACGGATGATAACTAAATGAAAGAGCAGCGAGACTGAGGTTTGTTCACGAAAACATGATGATAGAATAAAGCATTCAGTACAGATATGAGCAGTGTTCGTTCGAAAGTGAACAACAAATGAATAAAACAATGAATCGTACCTATACGCATCATTGATCGCAAGTTCCACTTGAGTGTAGAAAAAGTTTTTGCCAAGCGAGACGATAGAGCGACTCAACGATGCGATTTTTTTGGCGACACTGACAGCTTCTTGATGGACGAGGTTGTCGTCAACTACTCTCGATACGAGACCCACTTGAAGTGCTTTATCAGCATCAATATAATCGGCAGTGAGCAGCATATCTAAAGCCACCTTACGCGGTATGCATCTCGCTAACGGTATGCCGGGTGTTGAACAAAATACACCAACTTTTGCACTGAAAACCTCAACTAATTCTTCATGTTCATACTACTGGCCGTACCTGCAATGCAGGAATGACTGATTTCATTAGTTAATGCATAAGCGAACATATACAAACAAATATACCCGGGCACTGAAAACTTCGAAGTTTTTCCAGCGATAACAATGTCGCACGTTGCAACAAGCTGACAACCCGCTGCGGCCGCAATACCGTTGACCTGAACCCATGTTTCTGATCTTGCAAAAATACCATAGCTTTACTTTAATTTGTGCGGTATCAAGCATGCGACAAGTCAACTTGCACTCAACAACATCATCTTACTGCTTCAGAGCATCTGCGTTATGGATAATCAACAAGTGCTCACAAGACATCACATAATTCATTTTACTCATTGTTAATACTGCAAAAACAAAGTAAGATGATTGTACGAATCGATGTCACATGCATCGTAAAATGACTATGCAAACGGCAAAAAGTCGAATGTCCAAAAATCGCATCATTTATAACCTCGTCTAGTAGCTATCAATGAATAGCAGCGTTCAATATCGAATACTTGTAAAAGAATATCAGAGGTCACAGAATGTTGATATAACGGAACATTAGTTTCTCACATTCTAAGGCTCCACTATCTGGAGGTAAGTGCAAAAATCGCAACCTAAAGAGAGAGTAAAATACAACGCAAACAAACCTCGGCAATTACAGGCAATGACATAGTCTGAATGTGCGATAACATTGCAGCACAACTGTTAAACAGTCTTTTATGCTTTTCCACACCTTCAGAACTCTTCTAGAAAAATAGCAATCGTGTTTTTTAAAATCTCAACAACAATAACTAATTGAATCTCCTCATTTCCTTCCATGACAAACCCTTTCGATACTATCGTTCAACAACGGTCAGCTGTGTGCTTAGAAATGAGTTATGAATTATGGAATCAATTCAAAAAGCAATAAACCAAGAATGAAATAGTACCAGTTCGTTGATGTCATGACCCGATGAGTAAACTCGCCCTTCAGCTGCTATAATCACCGCTCGCGCCTCTTTAATTGATTCTGCATCCTTCAGTTCCTTATGTAACGCTTCAATCATTGGTAATGATAGTGCATTCCTTCAAACAAAATCTATTCGGAAAGTGTCATCACTTTGCAAGTTGCTTCACAGCACATATAAATTAAAATGATGCACGCACATCAATATGCATTCCGAGATGCTCTAACTCTCCAGTACTTTTTTAAAGTTTTTCGTACTCGATTCATATCTGATGAAAAAAAAAGAACAATGCCTGTAAAATTTCAGCGAGAATCGTTTAAGTGAAGCTCAAACCTCGAAACTCTTGTTCAAACATTGTGTGTTGTCTGTAATTAGGAACAACTATCTTCCATAGCAAATTAGGGATAAAGCAGATGTCACATTACTTTTCTTTTGACGTGAACGTTCTCCACGAGGTTTTCAAAATATAATAATTCAGATATTAATCAGATTCAGCAAATTATACAATCCTTAAGTGTTATGTAAACCTGTACTGCACACCAAAAAGCCGAGAGAAAATCCGAAAAACAACAAGAACAGTGAACGTTTGGTGCTAGTAAAGGCTTATTATCGTAGTGAAAAGTTCGTTCAGCTCGGAATGTGATTTGATTGCTGAGAAATTTTGCATGGAGTTTTCCTGCGTTCAGGTTGAACATCTTTGCTGCGGCATCAAAAGTCTGAGAGAAAAAATATCGGGCAACAAGGAGTAGCACTCAATTTATAGCTAGTTCGAGCGCTTTGCGCCAGCTTTTTTGGTTGAAATTCTGTTTGAAGTGGTTTTTAACCAACACGAAACAGAATCGCGCGATATTTCAAAAATCAGAGTGAAAAAATTCTTGTGCCATTTGTGTATACATGAAATGCCGATGAACGATAAGATGCTCGATTGTGGAGTATTAGAATTAATAATATGAATAGATAAACAATAAGAAGTTGACTA